TTGTACCTGTGAAAATGAGACCAAAAGAAATAAATTATAATCACATTAAATCTAATCCAAAATACAAATTTAAATTAATACTAATAACATATCTATAAATTTAAAATACCTATTGGTTTTGTACGTCGAATCTATGCCGACAAACCAATAATAAGTCCGGAATAGACTCACTGAATCAAGATGGGCCATGAATATGTGTGTCAGCGCATTTGTATTCGGATCGACATTTGTATAAACTATGTAGTTGCTGCTGTTTGCCAAATGTAGAAGTTGGGTAGGAACGTCCCTACCCTCAAAACTTTCCTTACGCAACCAGTCTCTATAGTTATATACATGTCGCCGATTAGCATGGTCGTGTGGATTTTTTTCATGGACGGCGGCCAAAATATTTGCTGGTGTCACATGCGCAGCAGTCATTTCACGAATAATTTTTTTGGATGACACGCTTATGCCGCTCGACTGTCGATGACCCTCAGGATACACGGCAAATGAATGATTATGGTATCCCTTCGTTTCGTCTTGACTCATGTGGATCATCCAGTATGTCGATCTGACAACACGCTTTACTTGTATCTCAAAAGGGCACTGGCACACTTTTGTTTTTGAACGTCTCGAAACAGCTTTATTCATATCTACGTTTTTGCCTCTATAACGTTCGCCTCGATCGCACTTCAAGATCTTAAGCCTTCCGGGTTTTTTGTGTTTCGAAATAGTCAAAAAGAAACCATTCAGAATTGCCGTACTTTTTGCATCCTTAATAGCCTCCACATCACTAATAAACAGCGTAGTTGTATTGAAAGCGGAACGGTAATCAACACCATCTCCTCCAAAATCTTCTAAAGACACCTGCAATGTATTTAATAATTTTAAAGCATTTAAAAATAATTAAAAAAAATAAAAAAAAAAATAAAAAAAAATGGTGTCCGGCCGGTCGAACCGGCCGGACCGGGTCACAACCGGCCGTCGTGGCCGGACACCAAGTGGGCCGTACGACTGGTCGGTTAGTACAACGACCGGTCCGTACGGCCCACAATACCGCACGCAACCGGTGGTGTCCGGTCGAACCGGACGGACGCGTGTTAAGCCGTCCGGTCCGGTCGGCCGGACACCACCGGTTGCGTGGCACTTTTCCGGCCGGACAGAAAAAAAAAAATACCTCTGAGCTGCTGGACATTGTGCGAATGAGAAGGGCAAAATCATCCAAAAAAGACGGTGACTAGTAATAAAGAGGCGATAAATAGTAATGCCCTGTTTTTACAATCATAGAGTTGGGAAGGAGCTTATTTACGAAATTTTCTAACGGAAAATAGGAACCAAGTGGACATACTCCTTTTTAGAGGAACGTTACACATTAACGTTTCTAAATATTAAATTTATTGTTCTCCCAAAAAAAAAAACTGATATTGACAAAATGTTTATATTTGGTTTTAAACAGAAAATATAAATAATTTTTAATAAATAAATCTGCTATCATTTTCGTATGGTCTCGTCTTGTGCATGTGAGCAAACTTGAAGATTTTAAATCTGAATTGTCCATATCTTAAAATGGTCCCGAGGATCTGCGTGCTTTTCTAAAATTCTAACCACAGCTTTTACTTAATAAATTCGGTGGAAAAATAGATTAGTTGTTACGTCGTTATTGAGATATTATTATTGAGAAATGCTACGGTCCCGTTACGGGGTTATTCCGTCGGAGTTTATAACCATTAGGTCAATTGATGCAGGCCCTAGTAAGATATTGTCCGCTTTGGGCTACTTCCGCCACCCCCACGACTTTGTTCTTGGCTGGGCTTCAATACACACCCACCAAAACGCGTCTTACTAGTGAAGGTATCCACATCCTCATATAAGGCCTGCTTCGTTTTCTTTCAAATCCGATGTGGGATGCGCTGCATCATCAACTATCCTCGACAATTACATGATGATCTAATAGTTACAAACTCGATGAAATAATCCGTAACGGGACCGTAATATCTCACGTTATTATTAGGACAGTTTCTCTAAATGTGCCTTGACAGATCGCATACCTTTGATTAAATGAGGTTGGTGACTTGGTGGCATGAAGTAATTTTATTACAGGACAACATTAATAATGATAATTGAAATGTTGTTGATTCGTGTTAATTCTAATTTTTGTTTCTTTTCTGTGGTTGAAAGCGACGTGTAACTGCTGTAATTTTGGACTACAAGAGAGACGTTATTAAAGTTAGTGATGGTATCCAAAATTGGGATTAGTTCATGCCACCCGCACGGGTAGTGCCCATTTTCTCTAAAAGCCAATAAGGAATAGACATGTGGCAATTTTATTGCTAGTTCCACACTCAAATTTGCTATAGGCAAAATTAAAATAAAAACTTAGTTAAAAATACTATTAAAAGGCAAACAAATAAATAAATAATAATAATATCGTAGAAAAAATTATGTGTGAACCACCAAGAGTTTCAGAACA